CTTGTATCAAAGAATATGAATACTTTTTCGTCAAAAAATACATGACGATCCCTTCGATATTATCTATTATACATTATTTTATTACGAGGCCTTCGTTTATCTAAAATATAAGTATTATGACAACATCTACAGTGTCAGGGGGATAGGCTGATATAAGAATCCAGAGATCTGTACAAGTCACTAGTCACTAACAAAGAAAAAGCATACGCAAATCGTTTCAAAATAAATAGAATGACCTGTAATATTACCTATTACATGGAACTTTAAGAATGCACACAGTGCGAAAAACCGGTTATTTGAATATGTTTCAAGATGTGCATAGAATCAAGTGTGATCTTTTAGAATGTATAGTCGAAAGTTTACTACCTTGCTGGTTTGAAGATAAGAATCTTAACAACAAGTTCAGTTTTTTTTCTGTGAAAAATTATAAAATCACCTCACGTTTCTCTGTCCCAAGTTAGTCTTGCGCCGTTTCAGTCTTTTCCAAAACGCCGAAAATTTGGCTATGGCCAAAAAATGAACATTTTTGGAATAAAACTAATTTTTCTCGCAGGCATTCTGTTTATTGCAGGATTCTGCGTGCTTTCTGATTCTGTACGTAAAATCAATAAAAAATATTCTTTGGACAAGGATTTTCGAAAGTTCAAGTACGGGTATATTCTCACATACGGAAAGGCGTTTCGAGATCATTCCGAATAACAGTTTTCGAAAGGGTTTTTGAAGCGTTGAGGGTTTTCTAGTAAAAGCTTTTTGTTTAGAGTGCAGAGGTAATGCAAAATAAAAAAATGGCTTGCATGGTACGAATAATTCCACTATCTTTTCAACGAAAGATGGATTCCTGTGTGTTTTGAAGAAACAGAAACATGCTTGTATAGTGATAAGATTTCATTTACCAATTTAAGTGTGTACGTCACTTCTGTTGCATTTCGAAGAAAGAAAGTAACAAGAGATCACTTCAAGAGATAACTGCTATTTGTCGAATTCACATACCTGTCTGTGCTGCAAAATTATTATTCAAACTTATGAATTATGAGAAAAAAGAAACAATGACTCTATTTATCTAGTTTCTAAGAGAAAAATATCAGAAGTTGAATCAACACCTCTTGACCTCAGAATGAAGAACAACACAATTCTGTTTCACTACTAAAATCATCATACCAGCCTTTCATGTAAGTTCTGTTTCATGAATCATGTTGTAATGTATTTGTCTGAATTTTTAATTGTATAGACGACATTTGAGAAATATGGCGGAGCGATATTCGAAAGCTAATATCAAAGAAACAGGGTCAGTAATTGACAGAATAAAAGCGAATAAACTCTATTGGATATTAATCGGTTTTACAATAGTACTCACCATCATTATGATAGCATTAGCTGCAGCATTAGGTACTGCCAATAAAAAGTTAAAAGCAAATAGTAACAGTGGATCAACATCACCGATTGTAACGTCGACATCATCGATTACAGCATCGACACCACCGAGCACTACATCGACATCACCGACTCTACCGGGTTCAATTCAAGTCAATGATATGATGGAACATCTTCGAGCTTTACAAACAATAGCGGATGAGAACGCCGGCAATCGAGCAGCCGGAGAAGCTGGCTTCAACAAAACCATCGAGTATATAGAGGACTATTTGAACAAAGCAACAAATCTGATCGTATACCCAGAGCACTTTCCAATTGCTCAATATGAAATGATCGGAACTCCAACATTAAGTGTCGACCTGAATCCATCAGATACTGTCACGTACGTTTATCTAAAAGATTTTCTCGACATGCAATATGCAAGTGGTGCCGACTGGACCGACGGTTATCCACTCTCTGTTATTCCCAATCTTGGCTGTAGTATGACGGATTATGACGAAGCTTATCCTTCCATTATACCCGGTAAAAGCGTTGCCCTAGTAAAAAGAGGTGATTGTGCTTTTGTCGAAAAGTCACAACGTGCTGCAAATGCCTCGGTTGCCGGGCTCTTGATTTACAACGACGGAGCTTCTTCTGATCGTATAGAACCGATGACTGCCAGTGTTGATTTCTATACTAAATTTCCGGCGTTCTTTCTCTCCTCTACAGTCGGTTATTTCCTAGTAGACGCAGTAAACAAGTCGGAAAATATCTCTGTACGAATGAAGATTACAGTTAATGAAACAATTAACACTACCATTGTCACTAATATTTGTGCCGACACAAAAACGGGTGATAAATCAAAAACAATCGTAATTGGAAGTCACACAGATAGTGTAAAGGCTGGGTCAGGGATAAATGATAATGGCAGTGGTACAGCAGGTACTCTGGTACTTGCAACAACCCTTGATAAATTACTACAGAGATCTGACTATAAAGAATATCCAAATCGCGTGAGATTCTGCTTTTGGGCTGCGGAAGAAGTTGGTCTGCGAGGATCAACATATCATGTTGAACAAGTACGGGCAAACAACTCCTTTGATGCAACTATTAGTGACTACCTTGTCAATTTGAAAATGGGCATTCTTTTATTCTGTCATATTTTACGAAAGTCTATATTGAACCAGAAATACTCCTCCGTATTGGTGAATAGTGGCATTTTGATATGCTCGGTTCTCCAAACTACAATTTTGGTATCTACAATGGAAGTTCAGCAGATGAGTCCATACCTCTAATAGCCGTCCCTGGTAGTATCAAGCTGACAGAGTTATTTACAGAGTATTTTGTGGACAATAAGTTACCGTGGTCATCAAGCGCTTTTGATGGTCGCAGTGATTATGGACCGTTTTTAAGTGCTGGTATTGCATGTTCGGGAGTTTCAACGGGTGCTGATGGGGAAAAAAGTCAAGCAGAACGTGATAAATATGCTTCAATGTTACCGTCAGGTCAAGGAGGCATTGCGGGAATGATCTATGATCCTTGCTATCATAAAGAATGCGATACAGTTCAAAACATAGACAAATATGCTTATGAAGTTATGGTAAAATCAGCTGCATATGTCTTAGAGTCTATCGGACAAAATGCAGATTTAGTTACTTGGTTATATCCTTCAGGACAATCAGAGCCGACTTACAAAAATGAAGAATTTAATGAATCATTTGAAAAGTCTGTTTTAGCTCAATATCATCGAAAGACAGATTTGTAACAAAGTAAATATATCAAAGTAAATACAATTTTAATCTAATACATATTAGTGACTTTTGTTAAGTAAACTAAAGAATTTGATGAGTTTAATTTGAAACGGTTATCTGTAGGACATATCAGAGGATATATCAAAAGCTATAAGACGAAATAGATATTTATGAAAGAAATCTGAGGTGGAAGAAAATGATTTGGACTTTAGCTGCTACGTTGTGGTATTCTACCTCCATGGGTGTTTTTGTCTGCGTGTATTCATTTCTCTTACACGCCCTTCTTCGAGTCCATGCATGACACCATAAAATGATCACTTTATTGTCTGACTGCATATTGTTCAATTCCAAGCGCTTAAAAAAAGGGCGAATCAATCGTTCTGGCTCCGTACAAATATTTGGTACTGGATCTGGCAACAGAAACAAATTTTTTTTTTGTAAAAATGTGGGAAGTACACGGGATACCGAAGAGCATACCATTATCGATCATACACACGCCTGTTTCTATCCAAGGAGAAACTGGCTGTCATGTTAGAGCACATTAAATAAGTTGAAATATGAAAATTAAAAAACTGAAAATTGATATGTCGTTGATATGACTCTTTTTTGCGCGAGTTGACTTTTGTAGCAAGAGTAAGTACCAAGAGCATCTCATGCGTGGAAGAATCGGTGGATCTGTTATATAGACATAGACATTAAATCAGTTTTTAAAACCAAAACCTACTTTAAAAGTTCAAGAATCAAATTATCCTTCTTTGATATACATTATTGCATAATCGATCAGCACACGATAATTGATATAGATTTTTGGATATTTATTCACACACAGTACCAAAAACGTATATAAAAATACCAAAATAGTATTTCAAAAAATAAAAACCAGAAAATACAGATTCTATCAAGGAAATACTGAAAAAAAGTCATTTTATTCCGGTAAATACTAACCCTGTTTCTTTGAAATTAGCTTTCGAATATCGCTCCGCCATATTTCTCAAATGTCGTCTATACAATTAAAAATTCAGACAAATACATTACAACATGATTCATGAAACAGAACTTACATGAAAGGCTAGTATGATGATTTTAGTAGTGAAACAGAATTGTATTGTTCTTCATTCTAAGGCCAAGAAGTGTTGATTCAACTTCTGATATTTTTCTCTTAGAAACTAGATAAACAGAGTCATTGTTTCTTTTTTTCTCATAATTCATAAGTTTGAATAATAATTTTGCAGCACAGACAGGTATGTGAATTCGACAAATAGCAGTTATCTCTTGAAGTGATCTCTTGTTACTTTCTTTCTTCGAAATGCAACAGAAGTGACGTATACACTTAAATTGGTAAATGAAATCTTATCACTATACAAGCATGTTTCTGTTTCTTTAAAACACCCAGGAATCCATCTTTCGTTGAAAAGATAGTGGAATTATTTGTACAATGCAAACTATTTTGTTATTTTCCATAAATCTCTACAACCAAAAATTGTATCGAATCCGAGTTTTTACCATTGAGACGCTTTAAATCTCTAGTATCCACACTGATAACATAAGTTTTTTCTTCAATGATCTTCATGGATTTTTGGAAGAGTTTTGAAGTTGCCCTGTTTTCTCTGAAAAAAAAATATATTCATAAGATCGCCAGTTCATTCTCATTTCTCAACTATTCTAATTTGTACAAAAATAGAAAATAATGCATCAGATAGAGACACGTATCAGTTTTACCAATCAATGATCTTTTTAGAAAAGATACAGTTGGATATATTCGAGGTGTAAAAGAGTAAAATGTAAAAATTCTTAGCGCTGATTTTCTGATATATCCAAGTGTATGCTCATTTTGGATGTATTATGCCATATCTATCAGTCGATGATTCATCAAGGCGGCTTGTCCAGCTAACGATCTCCTTTTTCGCTCATTTTAAAAAATTATTGAATTAAAGCTACAAACTAATCTAAAATTGCAACTAGATAATTAAGTAGATTAAACATTTCTCTACAAAATGAAAAGTATCTTGGCACTGAACGTTGATTCGTTATGAAAATACAGCTGTTGTACAAACAGCCTCAAAATCGATTTTGACACTATCTGAACAACGTGTCTAAAAGAGTAAAGGCGAACAGGCAAAAATTCAACAAGTATTCCGGTTTATAGAAAATTGTTTGCTCTACAAGCTGTGATAGCTTTCCAACTTCGAAACTATTCTAATTAATCTTTATTAATCAAAGAAAAAGCGTGACACTTTTGACCATTTTTTTGTCACAGTGTCACGCTTTTTCTTTGTTCGCCTTTACTCTTTTCGACACGTTGTTCAGATAGTGTCAAAATCGATTTTGAGGCTGTTTGTACAACAGCTGTATTTTCATAACGAATCACAGTTCAGAGCCAAGACACTGTTCATTTTGTAGAGAAATGTTTAATCTACTTAATTATCTAGCTGCAATTTTAGATTAGTTTGTAGCTTTAATTCAATAATTTTTTAAAATAAGCGAAAAAGAAGTTCGTTAGCTGGACAAGCCGCCTTGATGAATCATCGACTGATAGATATGGCATAATACATCCAAAATGAGCATACACTTGGATATATCTGAAAATCAGCGCTAAGAATATTTACATTTTACTCTTTTACACCTCGAATATATCCAACTGTATCTTTTCTAAAAAGATCATTGAACCTGAGACGCTTGGCGAGTATGAATTATGAGACCAAGACACAAACCACTGAACTGAGGAACTTACAGAAGTATGTCTTCGCATAGCATACTCATCATGTTCTCGGATAGACTTCTGTAAAAACTTCAGCATCTTACAAAAAGCTGTCGCGGTTGAATTTGTAAAGCTCCTCGCTATCGTACATGTATTTGAGACATAAAAGAGAAACGCTAACTGTATAGGTGTGCACATATATCATACGATACCATCGAGTGTATTCTATGACGAATGTCTAGAAACTTATGGTTAGGAGAAGATATTCACTATACCCTCTCTCTCTACCTTCTAAGACTACAGGAATCAGAACACTTTCAAGATAATCCCAGTTTCAAAGAAAAGAATTTGTAAAAAGGAAAAAGTTCACAAAACAGGCATATGTTGCAGAAACATGCGATGGACGACGTCTTTCCCTCCTCCCTGTCCCAAGTGCTAGTTTTACTCAGTCTCACTCTACCCAGCTATGCTCTTTAATGAATAATCCTGAGCGTGAGATAGATTTGTCCAGAAGCTCAAGGCTCACTCTATTAAGCTTATGTTAGTTGATTAGGAAGACTTTCTGACGTGCTAACGACTGAAACTGCATATATTTTAATGAATTTTGAAGCTTCGACAAAACCGTAAATGGACAGTTTTTTTCTATGGTTTTAACCTTGACGATTTTACTTTCATAGTTTTTCTTTTATACCTTCCTGAAATTTTTCCTAAGTGGCTCCAAACTATATTTTGACACTGATGATTTTTGGTAAAATCGATAAACAAAAAACCCTCCCTCTCAACCTCTTGCGATTATGAAGAATTTAAATATTGCAAGTTGGTAGAAATTTTCAATAGCTATAAAATGACTGTCTTCTCTCTCATTATATAGCAAAACGTACAGAACCAAAATAGAAAAAACTGTTTTTTGGCTAGGAAGTAGTTGAGATTACATATCTGCCGTATTTTCTTCATATTCTCTTATTTTTTAAAGTATTTAGAAAAATGTTCAATATGTTTTTTTGTAGAGAATTGAATGACGCATCCTCTAAAACAGAAATTAAAATTTTTACCATATTTGCGTACTGAGATATATGCAAAATAAAGAATATTACAATCATTCTGGCGCACCCGGTATTAAGAAAAGTGAACAATTTATGAGATTCGAATTCAGGATCTTTAGATCGGGAGTTTAACTCCTTAATCATTCAGTTAAATTGCTTATTTTAGAGTTAAAAACGCCGACATATACGTAATTAGTGAAATAAATTTAAAAAAGTTAAATTTCTTTTGATGAACATTCTAATTAATTAGTTAAAGACTGCCATATTACTGTGAGCCGCGTAAGGATCGTACACGGATATTTTTTTTGTATGTTTGAGATTTAACAATGATGACTTTATTTAACTCTTTTCTTTTTCCGAATTTCTATTCATCTTTTTCAAACAGAAATGAAAAACTGAAATTATATTTGTGAATATTTTTTGACTAATTTTCAAAAAAAGAAGATTGAATTGTGCCCAATAGTCAATGAAAAATGACAGGAAAAAATTTGAAAACAATCTTCTATTAGAGTCTATCAGATCACTTCTTTCTCACAGTAGTTTTTTATTTTAATTTAATTTTTCGTTGTTTTTTCGTTTATCGTAAAATGATATTTTTTAAACATAAATATTATATCATAATAACTGATGAAAACGAGAGTGCTATCGTTAGAGCCTATGCTATTCTTTTTGAGACCAATGGAATTAATTCAATTATATATATTTAGTTTCTCTTGTCATTTTTTATCGTAAAAGAAACGAATTTTCTCGTTTTTAGCCTTGTAAAATACGAAATGTTCTACTACGACGATAAAAAAATCAAAGCTGAGTTTCGCTTTTGCAAAAGTTATCGTTCGTTTATGAGAGGAGTCAGTAAATTTAATCCATTCAGTTTATTTCACTTTTTTACGTGGTCGGATCACGCAGAATAATAAACCTGAATTATTTTCTAACAAACAGAGCCGATTATATATATGAGTCAATTGCAACTTCTTTGTATAATGACATTTCTGAAGTATTATTGCTACTAACACCGTTGTTATGAATGAATTTTCAAACTTTTTTCTTATTCTCGATCTCAGACCCTATCCGCACTACTATAAAAATTTCGTAATAATATGCCGTCAACTAACTGAGTTACGTGGGTCAAAAGTGAAAAATACCCGTTTTTCCGATGAGTCATCGACCGAAAAATAGATTTTCTAAAGGAAAGAAACAACGATATCAAAAAAGTAAATAGTACGATTTGTAGAGCTTTTAATTCTCTATCTGATTTCGCCGTTCACTTTTGAGATTGTTTACTTCTGAGTGTCCCTTCAGGGAGAATCCTCATTTGTTGGGATTTCTGAAAAACTGGATCTTCGTAGGGCTATGGGGAATCACCATGGTCATATTCGTGATCAGCATGGTCAATAACCTATAACCGACTGGATTTCGATCAGAAAACGATTTATCACCTCGGGAGGTTTCCTCGTCAGTGTTAACTCATCTTTCCTTTTGTCTCTTGCATTCTTGATGATTTCACACTTCTATTGACCGGAATTATTTGATGTAATAGTAACAGAAATACCATTTGGGTTTTAAGAGAACAGTTTCTTCAATTCTCATTTCTATCTATCTTTCTCTTTTCTAACAAAAATGAATTAGTCGTAAATTTTGATGATACGAAAGTGGTACAGTTGATGCGTCAGCTATCCATCGCTGAGGGTGTAAGGGCAGTCGTGACTCTGGGTATGCGTTAAATGATGGTAAGTATTTCACGAACTAAAAAATTCCAGTTGTTACTTCATTAAAGTGAGAGATAGTAGAAATCATAATCTATCGATTTTAGTTGCAGTCATCGAGAAACAACGTACGAGAGTTGGAAAAACATGTCAAAGTCGCAGAGAAGAAGGTATAAACAGAAGAGTGGCCTGTAACAACATGCTTTAATCAGGAATAGTTGAAAAATCTTGACCGAATTATAGATTTCCAATTTAACTCTTTTCTAGCATTGATTTAAGTACACGTTCAGTCCCAGTGAACTCCCTTCAACATTCATTGTTTCTGGAATACATTATTTCGTTTATAATTGTCCGTTTTGAACGTGGTTTCTTACTTACAATTCGCGTAACTATGGACGATTTTCATAATTTAATTTCCATTTTTTATTTGTGTTTGAGTTATTTGAGTATTTTTTTAATAAAATGTTGTGGTTACCGCGATATTTTGTTTTATTATTTTGTTTTATTCCTACTATTTATATTAATTGTATGGTTAATAATAATAATGTGGATACCTTTTCTGATGATGATGATGCTCAAATTATAAGAGATAAATTTGAAACATACTTAATACGTAAGATGGGACGTTTAGTAAGAAATGATTTAGCACAAAAGCAACAAGAACCGAAACCCTATAGCCAACAAAACATAAACAAGTTACAACCACCAAATTATGGTGATAAATTCGAACCAGATGAACAAAAATATTTATATGAATTATATTTCTTGGCTACGAAACAGTCATTACTAGACTTATACCGATCAAACCAAAGATCAATACCTTTACAACAAGAATTAGTTCAACAAGTGAAACAATTAGCTGATCAACAATTCATTGATGATGGTTTTTCAGAAAAGAATATCGTTATTTTTAAAAAAAATTAAGTCTGCCGAACAAGCGTGCACCTTGAACGGAAAACCTTTTGTGCTTTTGCATTCTGTCGGAGGTTTCCTATACATGACTCCTAACTATGTCGTGATAAATTGCTTAATATATAGCATGCTTTGGGCTACTTACCAATTCTTTTGATATGTAAGTCAGATTTTATTGATAATCCGTAAGCGATATCACATTACACGGTACCACTCTGAAAATATGGTTGCTAGTTTCTGACTAGTTATCTAGCAATAAGTTATCTCTTTATGACGATATTTCTTTTTTACAAATACAGACCTCATGTTTAATCCCGTAGAATATATAAGTTAAAAGACGAAACTTGACTTTCAATATTATTTGCTTTAGCTCATTCACTGCGTGTTCTTGTCTAAGGTATATTGATTGTTGATAGTAGACTTGCACCGTGTCACTATAATGCGCACATTCACAAATGAGTCGATTGTCTGATGGCACAGTTGAAATTGTATGCATATCTAATCAAAATGCTTATGTCGGGACATTTGTAATAGAATTCTATTCTTCACTAAATTAATTCGTAATAGACTAAAATGCATGTGATGTGCAAATAAAACCAACGAAGCACTCATTGTTATTTCTCAAACGTCCAGTCATTATGGGGGAAAAAAATTAAAAAGTACAGTGGTATTACATTGCCGGTAACTTATCACATAAACAACACAGACAATTTTATCGTGGAAGGAGCTTTATTTGCAGCATAGTGACGCTTGAATAGAGAGTAAATGTTTTTTTATTGTTTCAACTAGTTTCAATATACCCATGTCATTCAAATGTACGAAGTCGTCATTTAAATCATCGTCCTTTATCTACGAGACTAGCGGCAGGTTATCGATTAACATTGAAGTTAGCAAAAATCGTAGCCCATAAGAAGAAAGACCGGCTGATAACTAATCCGGTATTTCAGTAGTGAAAAGAGCATTCCATTGTACTGAAAATACTCTACTCTTCCATTTTTATTTTATTCTGACATTATTATACTTGAACTGAACCTCAATAAAATTATGACATTTTGGTCTCAATCGAGAGACAACATTAAGATGTACACACAAAAACATTCCATCGTTATCAGATGAAGCCTTCATGAATTATTCCACTCTGACCTGTTCCAAGCGTTTTTGAAAATATCTTGCCAGGACTTTCGCTTCAGAGTAGCATTTTGGTTTCTATAATTTTTCACCGGAGAAAAACTGAACTTGTTGTTAAAATTCTTATCTTCAACAACCCGCAAGGTAGTAAACTTTCGACTATATATTCTAAAAGATCACACTCAATTCTATGCATGTCATCTTGAAACATATTCAAATAACCGATTTTCGGCACCGCACATTCTTAAAGTTCCATGCAGTAGTTAGTTCTATGATTTTTGAACACTACTGTATTTGTGTTAATGATAAATAACTTGATATATTTTTTTCGTGTAGTATTGATCTTATCATTTCATTATTGTCACTAAAACAACAACTTGTTAAAAATGGTATGAGCATATTGATTAAGATTGTCTCACCGTTCACTCATTTCGATTTTACTTTTTGTTGAAATTCTTTTAATTAAGTATATTACACATAGCGTCTGAATATTCACTATCATTTTGAATTAATTTGGTTGTTTCGGAATTTAAACGATGATTTTGATATTGAAAACAAATTACACCTGAAAATAAGAGCAAACAAGTGTTCGAACTTCGACCAATAGAGCAGACATATCCTCAAACTTATCCTGTTTGATTTTAGATCTAAGATTACATTTGGCTGATGCTTCATCTCTGAGAAAATTGATCGCAAAGTTGAGAAATATTACCGTAGTCAAATTCCAAAGATGACATTTTAGTCTCAATATTTAATGTTTGTTGTTGTTGTTAACTTTGTCGCTCCTGAAGAGAGTAATATAGTTTTCTTAAATTATGCCATAAATCATTTTATAAGAGATGTGCAGGGTAGCTGTTTCTGGATCTCTGGCCCTACCGGTGGAATATGTTTGAGCCTATCCTGCTCTGTGACACTGGAGCCCTGGTCCTACCCTTTGAAAATTTTGAGATATTTTCATGACGATTATTTCTTTATTTTTATATACATCATAGATGAAATGATCATTTTTTAAATTTAAGAAATTTAAAATTTCTTAGCAGCATAATGTTCGCGAGTGACTTCACTGTTGTAGCTACGATATACTTCCAGGTTTGTCAAACAAAATGTTCTACTCTACTTTGTGCACAGATAAATTTTTTTCAAACACCTTGAGCTTTTAAAAGTGTCTCAGTTCATCCTGATCTTTCTTATCCTGGTTTCTTCAACTTTTTTAATCTTGTTTCAGAGACAGTATTTAAACAGAATTGAGAAAAAATTCACAATGACTCGAGTAAAACCGTATTTCATGCTTGCCGTTTTATGCGATAAGATGCGCATTATTATTAAGATACGATCATCTAATATCTAATTTGAACTCTTCCTTTCACACAATGGTATTACTTCAAATATAAGTTAAGAAAATGCTTTTTACTACATGCAATATCTGCGATCGAAGATCATGTTCGAAATTATGCGACATCTGTTGGCTGTAATGACATTGCATAAATTACTACGCAACGAACAGTGAGAAAGGAAAGAAAAAATATTAACATCGGCGGCCATTTCTGGCACGTACCATTGGCAGCTAACTTGCAACAACGCTAACGCCGAATGTCGTTGTCTCCTTTTAGCTTCAAATTCCAGCTCCTATTAGGAGCTAAAAGAAAATATGAGAAATGATTGTCGAGCTAGGTAACGTGGAAAACTATTAATCTAACTTCACTTAATCTATGTAGCAAAGCCTCGTCTGAATACAATCCAGTCCATGGACTGAAAAAATCTATTCCTGTCAGAGTCCATGAAAAACAGTTTTTTAGTGCATAGATGCTAAAGAAGCAGTTCATTCCAGTCTACAATACAGAAAAAACATGTTTTTTTTACTGATTGTTCCTGCATTTAAGTGAATCCAAAACTTTTTTCCGAGTTCAGACAAGTCCATGGTCTTGAAAGTTTGAGTCCAATCCGAGTCCATGAACACAAAAAATTTCAGTTCACTCTATACGGAGCTCTGCTATATATAAAGTACAGATGTAGTAAAGTAACGCAACATTCTCAACCATACAAAACATTGAAACTACAGCGCTTTCTATCTTTCTTTTAACAATATCATTTTACTTAAAAACCTAAGCATGTGTTTTTCTTTCTTTTTGCTAGAACAAAAACAACAGAAACAACACATTATGAAATAATTTTCTGTTCTTCTCTATCTGACGGAACGAGGAGAGTCATTGAGTATAACCAAACAGAAGAAACGAGAAAAGAAGACGAGAATAGAAAATAGAATAATCTCATGAATGAGTATGTTGATGTTATTGATATAAAAAGCCAAATAACCAGAATCTTAAAGTTCGACACTTGTAAGGTACAGCAGTGAAATTTTTTTTTGCCTCTATTATGCATATTCTGATTCGTTAGAGCGCGGTGATCACAAATATCACATTTTTCTTGAGTTTAGACCGAGTTTTGACGGAGAAAAATGCAAAATACTGAAAAGATCTCAAACATCGCAAAACCATTGGTTTTTCTAACCATGTATCATTGCATAGAGTTTCTATGAAAATTAGATTTGTGGCTGATTTTCCAACAGAATGAGCCTAAAAATGACACCTTCACTTTCCAACCCCTACTAGTTTTTTGTATCAAGGACTAGACTCTTGTGTCATACATGGTTAGACAGAGCATCGAGCGGCTAACAAAGTTATATGTTTAGATTTTTCCATTTTGCTTTCCTTGCAGAAAAAAATAAGTTTCTTTTTTTCCACTATACAAAGCGGCAAGG